CAGAACGTATAGTTTGAAATTGATTAAAATTTGGCATGTTCTTAACACGTTTTAAGACTTAATCAATGTCACGTTACCAATGAGTTATTGTTTATCTTTATCGTCACCGGAGTTCAACTCTTGTAACCTTATACCCTGAGGATAAACCAGGGATCCTAAAGTAAAACTCATCTAATATTTTTGCCATTTAAAAGAATTACGGTGTGTGACCAAAAAACAAAAAAACAAAGAATTACGGCGATCTATCATGATTATAATGCCAATCGAAATATTAAACTATGATCCCATAACTTTAAGTCTTTAAGATGAATATTTTCACCATTCGATCAGCATTATTTGGTTAATTTTATGCTTTACAATTGATTTGCTACATTTTAAATATACCGTAGTTAAGATTTTTTTTTGTTTTTAATAGATAAACTTTATCTTTACTTAAAAGAATATTAATAATTCTTATTTTTCTCTTATTTTAGGAACAAGAGGATGATGGTGAACGCCGGAATATGCTCAAAGCTACCCAAAAATGTTGAGGTTCTAGACATACCAACGAGACATTGCTTTGCGGAGCTTCTGCTTTCATTGTCGTCTCTAACAAATACCCAATTACCGGTAACTTCATCGCAGATTCTACCATTCTTGATCGACACTATGAACTCTGATACAACAGACATAAAGAGCAAAGAGATATGCCTAGCTACCATAAACAATCTTTGCCTTGTGTTGGAGAACGCAGGACCACTGGTCTCAAACATGGCAGTACAAACACTCCTAAACCTAATGTCTGCAAAAGACTTGTCTGAGATGGCGCTAGCAAGTCTAGGGCAATTGGTGGTGACTCGCATGGGTAAAAAAGCAGTGGAGGATTGTTTGATCGTGCCCAAAGGTTTGATAGAGATTTTAACATGGGAAGATAAGCCGAAATGCCAAGAATACTCAGTGTATATCCTAATGGTATTAGCTCATCAAAGTTGGAGCCAGCGTGAGAAAATGGCGAAGGCAGGGATTGTGCCGGTACTTCTTGAAGTATCCTTACTTGGAAGCCCTCTAGCCCAGAAGAGGGCTGTGAAACTTTTGCAGTGGTTCAAGGACGAGAGAAATGTACGAATGGGTCCTCATTCCGGTCCACAAACTGGTCGGGTGAGTGCTAGGATGGGATCTCCAATGAGCCAGAGATCGGACGAAGAAGGTAAGAAGATAATGAAGAATCTGGTGAAACAAAGTTTGTATAAGAACATGGAGTTGATAACTGAACGAGGGAATGCGAATATGGAGAGTGAAGGTTGTAGGCATAAGACTTTCATCATCAGCACAAGCTCTAAAAGCTTGACTTATTGATTTTTTTCAAAACGTATTCTTCCTTTGCCATATAAAATGAGTAAAGATTGTCTTGTTATGAACAAACGAATATTAATACAAAGGAATAAAAGAAAGAAAGAGAGAAGTGCACTTGCAAAAATGCCAATCGCTTTGAGCGTTTCTTTCATTCTTAGTTTCTTACATATATACCTACTTACACACAAGAACAAGACATTATGAATACAGTAAAAATACGAATGATTCTAAAACAAATGACAAATCAAAATTTTCGTATCTTCAGCTTGTGGTTTATTTACACGTATATATTACACTGTAAATGGATAACTTTGCAATTAAGAAGTTAATAAGAAGTTTGATATTCAAATATTTTCTCTTAAGTTTGTACTAATATTATGGTATCAGAGCATTTTTTGCTCGTTTTTCTGTTGAAGTTTTCTTCGATTGTAAGTTGTTTTCACTGTTCGACTGTCTTATGGAACCTGGATCTATGCTTTGCTTGAACTCAAAATATATGTTTTTGATATCTGAGAGTTTCAACTTTGATCTAGCACTTGGATCTTGTTGACTTGTTGCATCGACGGTGAAACAAGGAATCATGAAGGTGATTCTGGTATCTTGGCGATGAAGGAGAGGTATGGATCTTCGGCTCCGGTTGAACCTGAAATCGTTGTTGTGACTCCTCATGTCGTGATAAATCGAGGTACTTCTTGATCGATATTGGTTGGT